ACACACATTCTGTTGCTTAAATCAATATAGATAAGTTGGTTAATCTTTGGAGATTGAAGATGACTAGTATAGAGAAAAAGCATGCTAATATGTTTAAAGAACTTGTTCTGGGTGGTGATAAAATTGAGCATATGGTGTTTGCTTAAATGCCACAGAAACAAAGATTTGCATTATATAGTCAGCAACCATTTTCCTAACCTTGAATTTTTTGTGCATGACACTTCTTAATGGATCTTCAGAAAGAAAACAATTTGCATATTTAGTTTAGGCCTAACCTTGTGAGTGTTTATGAGACTATCAGAATTTGTAGCATTTGCCATATAAAATACCAAGTAAAATTGCAGAATGCAAGTACTTCAAGTTTGGAATTTGAATTAAAAGGACCAAATATCCATTATCTACATACTAAAAAAATTATCTGCAAGGTAATACTAAAATGGTTCAATTTCCTGCACATAACATAAATATAGATAAAAAAATACAGCAAAGGTGTAAAATACAATTGAACTGTTGCTTCCAATGATCATAACTAGAAACATGTTCAATTTCCATCTGCTGCCACCATACTAGTACAATAAACTCTTCTCCCCTGCTACTAGTGACTAGATTAGAAACCAACTAAGACTTAACTACATTATGATTAGTCCTCATATTACATCTGGAAAACTATGTAAGTTGATGTGATAGTTATATGTACACATATACTCTCATTAGTTGGTTATACTCTCATTAGCTGTGATAGTTATATCAAATCTGATATTTTTTAATATAACAAAGTCACATGCATATAAACACTACCATAATGTTTCAATTTGCAATTCTAATAATTGAAAAAATGTAGTAATATATAAATCCTTGCTTGCAATTTTTAAAATATGCTGTGGTATTCAACCTGCCCTATTGGTAATATTATTGTAGAACTTGATACCGTCCAATTGCTAGGTACTCATTAGTTGGTTTGGGTTTTCTATTGTTTGTTACCAGTCTCCATTGGGCGATTCTGAGTTTAGTGTGTGATGTCTTCCTTGATATGTTTAAATAGCATGTGTCCGAATAGGTGTCAGCTAATGCATCTGGGAAGTAGCCTTATTGTGTCTGCTTTTGGAGTGTGTGAATGGAGCGGAATAAGAGAATATTGGGTGTTTGTTCCTCTGTTTTGTTTTGTCTTTTTTTTTTTTTTTTTTTTTTTTTTTTTTTTTTTTTTTTTTTTTTTGGGTGAATAAGTCATAAAATGAAACAAAAGAAAGATACAAAATACAAGGGGCATGCCCCAGGGCCTACGACTATACAGAGCAAGAAATGAGCAAACAGACCTAAAAACAAATAAAAGGCTAACAAGGTAGCCATAACCAACCAAAACAACCAACACCATACACCTATTCAACCTCCATATACATAACAAAATAAGGAACCTGAACAAGCATAGATTAAACTATCTCGGGACTACATGATAGCAAAAAACTCCCAGACCACACTAACAACTGCTACATAGCAGCACAGAGCACAGCCGCAAAGCCTATAGTGCAACAGAGCAGTACAGTGGGCAGCATAGCAGATCAGCAAACAGAGTATAGCAGTGCAAAATTTGCACAGCAGAGTAGAAGAGCAGCAGCCTAGCAGCAAACTCATAGCAGCAGCACACAGCAGAAGATAAAATAATATATCTCAGATTCAGCCCATAAGGAAAACAGTCTTATACTGAATGCAACATTCAAAATAGATAACCAAAAAGCCAACTATGTGCAATATCAGAATTAAAAAGAACACCAACAATCCTATCTGAGAACTACTTCAAAAACTGGCGCATCTTTGCAGCTTGGCCCTCTGAGAATCCTCCAAAGTCTAACCAACATAGAACAACCTCCATCAAACCTTTAATGAGCACCCCAGCATTGCCTGTGAGCAGCAACAGAAAGGAAAAACACAACTTACAGGAAGCTATGTTTAGACCTGTAGCAGAACTTACTAAGCAAACCTCACAAACTCAAACCACACAAAAACACAAAGACACTCAAGCTCAACAAGCTGAGAAGAGAAAGGGATAAGAGAAATGGATAAGAGAAAACACTTCAAAAATGTAGATCTCTCATTCACTCAACCCACAACAAACATCTCCCTTACACAAGGTACCAGCTCATAGACCTGCAGATAAAACAGTTAAGTGTAACAAATCACAGCAAATGTGATGTCAGACCTGTCAACCACAGCAGAAGATAAAACAATATATCCCAGATTCAGCCCATAAGGAAAACAGTCTTGTACTGAATACAACATTCAAAATAGATAACCAAAAAGCCAACTATGTGCAATATCAGAATTAAAAAGAACACCAACAATCCTATCTGAGAACTACTTCAAAAACTGGCGCATCTTTGCAGCTTGGCCCTCTGAGAATCCTCCAAAGTCTAACCAATATAGAACAACCTCCATCAAACCTTTAATGAGCACCCCAGCATTGCCTGTGAGCAGCAACAGAAAGGAAAAACACAACCTACAGGAAGCTATGTTTAGACCTGTAGCAGAACTTACTAAGCGAACCTCACAAACTCAAACCACACAAAAACACAAAGACACTCAAGCTCAACCCTCATACTCTCCCAGCTCAGAATTGATGGACAAGTGAATGACAGAAACAAAAAAGAAAAGATAGCAGTAAGCCAAAATACAACCAACTCTAAAAATATAGTACTCCCATCACTCAACCCACGACAAAAATTTCCTATGCAATGTGTACAACAAGAACAGTCAATCAGCTTCTCCAATCAGTCACTAAGACCTCACCAAAACCTTCTATAACAAAGTTCCAGCCCAAACAAACCTGCATAGAAGAGGTTAGAAAAGTTTAGGAACTTTCTTCACTCAACCCTCAATCCCACATATCTCGACTGCCTAATTTTGGACTCACAGTCACTCAACCCTCTATCCTTAACATAAGGCCAGCTTGGCGACCTACAATGTTCCTCTGTTTTGTTTTGTTCAGCTATTGTTGGCTCCTCACCAACATTGTGCTTTTTTCATTTTCTTCTTTTCTCTCTTTCTTCTTTCCTCTTTATTGATGTAACCTCATATGAAAATATTCTGTTTTACTGATTTAAAAATCTGGGTTTGCTTTGTGGGTTTAAAAGTTAGAGAGAAAAGTGGGTTTGCTTTGCTTTATATTGCTTTATATCAGCCTAAATTCTAGACTTCATCAAATTTTCGGCAAAGTTGAAATTGAGTTCTAGGATGTCACCAATGACTGAGTTTCTTTCTATTCACAACCATATTTCAGGGTACCTATGAAGTTTGGGTTGTTTTCATTTATGGATCTGGGATAGCTGGCGGGTGATGCTGCTGATGCTGTCAAGTGCTGCTGTTGTTAATGCCTCTGGGATTGTGTTGTTGTTGCAGATTAGATTTGCATCAGGTGGGAGTTTGAGCAGACAAGGGAGTTTGAGCAGCCTTTGGGAGTTTGAGAACTGTTTATTGGTGCATTGCATAGTGTGTGTTGTTGGTTGATTGATTTTGCCTCTTCTAATTTAATTTGACTTTGGTTGCACTGATGCAAAGGGTGGCTGCTGGTTTTGCTCATGATTGGATGGTTTTATGTTTTTGGGTCTGAGTTGGTTTTGGTGCTTTGTTGTTTGTTTTGTTGTAATTCATTTTGGTGTTTGTTTTGTTCTGTTCTAGTTTGCTTTGTTTTCGGTTGGTTTCTTACCGCTTTTGATGGTGTGCTAATAAGTGATTAGGTGTGCATCTCAGTATACTGCTCGATTTATTGCTGAGACTGTGAAGACCTTTCTTTATTCACTCAACAACGGGAAGATACCAAAGAAGATATTCAACTGTAAGTTAAAACCTACAAAATAATCGGCAAATATCTTAAAATTTCAAACTAGAAGTTTTACTGTTCAAATTACTAATGGAATGGAACATGCTAATCTCTTTAGAGATTTTACAGCTATTATTAAATCAGAGGCACCATTTGCCAATTTTACAAGAGTGCAAATTGGGTTGGGTAGAGTTGGGCCGAATTCAAGTCGAGCTCAACCTAAAATATACATGTCTGCCAAGATCAAACTGGCATGATTTTAATTCACTATGCTTTCCCTGAGATCTAAATTATTAAGTATATAGCCTTTTCTATTAATGGCAACTAAATTAGGTCATAATCAGAGTTCAAATGCAATTCTTTAGTTAAGTCACTTTCAATTTCATTATCTGTTATTGTTATTTTACTTTTTCTTTTTTTCCCCCATTTTCATTTTGGCATATTTGTTGGATTTGCTTTTCTGTCCCTCTTCCTGGTCTGTGTGGATTCTTTTCTTTTAGGTATATACCCCATCCTATGAGGCAACCATTTATAGGTGCCAATATTGTGCTGAACTCACACCATTATCAGTTAGATGAAAATACCTAACCATAAATATGAACATGTAGATTTGGTTTATATTTGAACATAAGGTTTTATTAACAGCTTGATACTTTTATTTCCTTAGCTGCATTTTTTGTTGTTGTTGTGATAAACATGACATTTTGACACATTTAATTTTGCTAACATTCTTATATAGAAATGTGTTTAGAATGTCAAGGATGAAAAGCGAATATAATTACCCTTCAGGCAATAATAGTTTAGAAAAGTACATCCAACATGGTAAACATATAGCAAAATAGTGAAGGAGCCTACACAATAAATTACTTCGAGGGCTTCTGTTTATTTCTACATCCAACATGTGAAGGGTGATTTTGATTCTTTGAACTAGAAATTTATTTATATTTTCCTTTGAATTATCTATTTTTTGTTATCCTGGTTTCTTAAGCTTAATATCTGAAGTCAGCAAAAACAGCCTTGCAAAATAAAACAAAGAGAAAGCTAAGACCAGCCAAATCAAAAAATGTTTTATTTTGATTTAACTAAATGCTAGAAATCTATGGTATCAACAGATTAATGGTTTGTAATTTGGTGAGAGTTAGAAGTGTTGCTAGCTACTTATTAATGTTTTAGATGCATGTTGATGTTTCATGTACTCTTCTCACTCTTCTTTTCTTCCTTTTGAAGTTTTGGTGTGGAAGTCACTCTGTTGAAGTTGTGTACAATATTTTGGTCGTGATTGCGTCAACCAATTAAGTCAATTACTAAAATGATCTGGATTTGTGATCAATTTACTATTTTTCTCGTCTCATTAGCCTACTACAGTTTTCGAGGGTGCTTATGAGAGTTTGGGCCTTGATGCTTCTAGTGGGAAATCAGTTAGCATGCAGAAGATATGGCATCTAATTCAGGTACACTGCTTGCTTTATGTTTTACTTATAGTTTGCTAATTGCTATTTTGGAAACTTATAATTGCATTAGTCATGGTTCTTTTTGTAATGCTTGTAACGCAATTGTTTGTGGGTGAATTGAATTATATGATAGACACTGATGGGTGAGGGTTCAACTATTCCAAGGGATGTTTCAAAGAAAATGTCTTTAGTAATTGGTGCAAGGCGCCACCTCGAATGGGGGGCATTTGATGTCATTTTAGGCATGGACTGGTGGTGTTCTTATCAAGCTGTGATTGATTGTTACCGTCAGAGAGTTACGGTGTGCACTTCGGGTGGTGATCGTTTCTATTTTCTGGGGAACCGAGTTGATAGAGCCTTGTCACTAGTTGTTGACCCTCGTAGTAGGAGCAAGCTTAGTGGCCTTCTTGCAACCCTCTTGGATAGTGAGAGTGACGGGGCTTGTGTTGAGTTACCAAGGGTAGTTTGTGAATACCCGGATGTCTTTCCAGAAGATCTTACTAGTTTACCACCTCATTGGGAGATCGAGTTCTCCATTGAATTAGTGCCTGGCACGGCACCGATTTCCATGTCACCGTATAGATTTGCACCTGCCGAATTGCATGAGTTGAAGATTCAACTCCAAGAACTTTTAGACAAGGGTTTCATTCGCCCTAGTACATCGCCTTGGGGAGCGCTGACTCTCTTTGCAAAGAAGAATAATGGGTTATTGTGGTTGTGTATTGATTACTGTAAGTTGAATAGAGTTACAGTTAAGAACAATTATCCTCTACCCAGAATAGATGATTTGTTTGACCAATTTAGAGGGTCTCGTTGCTTCTCAAAAATAGATTTGAGGTCGGGGTACCATTAGTTGAGTGTCCGGGAGGAGGACATTCAGAAGACGGCCTTTTGTACTCTTTATGGCCACTATGAATTCCTTGCAATGCCTTTTGGGTTGACCAATGCATCAGCTTCCTTTATGGATTTGATGAACATAATTTTGCTGGAATACTTGGACCGCTTTGTGGTCGTCTTTGTGGACGACATCTTGATTTATTCAACCTGTGAAGAGGAACACGAGACTCACTTGCGGGTAGTGTTAGGTTTACTTAGTGAGCACCAATTGTATGCCAAATTTGAAAAATGCGAGTTTTGGTTAACAGAGGTGAAGTTTTTGGGGCATGTAGTGTCTAGAGAGGGAGTGACTGTGGACTCTTCAAAGATAGATGCCGTACAGGATTGGGAATCACCCAAGAATGTTTTTGAAATCTGGAGTTTCTTGGGATTAGCGGGATATTATCGATGTTTTGTAAGAGACTTCTTTAGACTAGCTGCACCTTTGACTAGGTTATGACATGCAAAACAATTCGATCATGCAATGCAGCTAGATGATCAATAACAACAACCAGAGTAGATTAAGATTCTTACCTCAAAGCTCGAATCTAACGGCTCAACTCTCGA